TTCAGATATCTGTTGGTTTGGTTTGGCATATTTTGATTACCCCCCAAAAAACTAGCGTTATCTGCCTAAGGAGAACATGTGTCTGTGTTACTACAGTTTGAAATGTCATCAAATGAAACAAAAATGCTGGAGATAGCAGAGGGAGGTAAGATGTTACTATTACTATGAGTAAGTCGGTAGAGATGAGTGATTTCAAACATAGCACAGTCATTGATATCACTGTAACAAACCCAGTTTGTGAAATACAGCTTTGCTACATCTGCCTAAATGAACTAAATGATATTTTTAAGAAACATAAATGTCTGGAGCATGAAATGATAAACCACCTAGATTTAATGACTGCAGTTGATGCATTCTCACGAGAGTTGGGAAAAAAATCATAAATGACAATTGGCAAAATAACTCATGAGCTTAAAATTGCCCAGGTGTCATCACTAATACCAGGCATGTTCACCGATAGCTAAAAAAGGTTTTCACAGCTATACAGTGTTTCATAAACCTAACTATAAGGATGGTCAATGCCACACATCAGTTGCAATATTGCAAAGCTCGTTGGCATTGGACTCTGGAGTAGTGGAAGTTCTTTGGAGTGATGAATCACACTATCTGATCCAGAAATCTGATAGATATGTAGAAGTTTAGCATATGCTATGAGAAAGCAGTAGTTGTGTATTAGCGCAAACCACTTTGACACAATTTGTGATTTTTTACAGAGGAAAAACGTGATACAGTAAATTTTTGGATTGCAACTCACAATGGATATGGTTACTCCAAAGAACTGTTATGGAACGGTTACCAGAGTTTGGCAATTTCTACTAAGGTTTTTGTGATGATATGTTAAGTAACAAGGAAGCTTCATATCCAAGCATATTGTGCCAACTATCAAATTTGGCAGTGGAGGCATGATGACTTGCGGTATTTTTTATTTGGAAGTGGGGGTTAGCCTGTACCAAAAATAAATAAATAAAAAAGCTGAGATGTACTTTGATATTCTTGATGGCAATGCACTTCCAATCTTCTGGCAATAAATGGCTCACACACAGCAAGAAATATACTTCTATACTTTGAAGAGCTAGGAGTTGAAAAACTGGACTCAGAAAGACTTGATTTCAACTCTACCAAACACCTTTGAAAAGAACTAGAATGCATATTACCTTGGCCAAATTACCCAGTTTCAATGGCTAGACTCACTATAGTTCTCATGGATAAACGGACAGAAATTTCTACAAACATTTAACAGAAAGTGGTCTTTTTCAAACAAGCATAGACTGTGACTGATGAAAATGGTGGACATACATGCAATTCCTATATGCAATATAAGGCTGATTCTACAGTGAATATTCAGATGCTTATGGATCTGAATTTTCTTATATCTATAATCTGGTAAATTTCATGGTAATTTCCACGAATGCAGTATCAGCATATAGGATTTTTTTTTTTCTCTACATATAACTAATCTTTCAGAAATTAATTACTATAAAAAACTGAACATTTACAGCACTTCTATAATTATAGTGAAGTCAAATTTAACATACCAGTCTTTTTTTTGTTATAATTGCTTTCAAATTCATCAAATAACAAAATGGTCTGTATATGATAGTATTTTACTGACTTTTATATGATTTGGCCGATGACATCAAGATCAAAGATATTTCTGAGGCCACTTAAAACATTTACTCAGCATTATTTAAAATCTGAAACATTTCACACACGTTAAATTCTGATAACTTTAGCTAGCAAGAGCCAGTTAAAGCTCATGTAATTTGCATATAATAATAATAATTTAAAAAATCTGAAAGCTTTCAGATTTTAGGTTTAATCTTAGTATATGGTATATACAAGATTTGGCGACATTATGATGAGCAGTTAATGGGGTATTTATGATGAATAGTAATTGAGTCATTTTGGTGTTGGCGACAATTGTAAAAACTCGTTAAGGTCATGCCGTATACTAGGATTTTACCAGATTTCCTATTATTTGAGCTAATGCAACATTGGGCTAAAAGTATTTAAAAACAGCATATCTTTAGAATTTCTGATACACAGTCTTGCATGCTAAAGATAAAAATGCTTTATTCCCTAACGTGTTGCCAATGCTCGCTTTGAAATTATTTTTTAATCAAAAATTCATTAAAGTTTTACAAAATATGAAATAAATAATAAAACAAATTTCCAAATTTGGGCTTCCAGGTGCCCATGTTCCGGGTGGAGGACTATGTTATTCAAAATTTGATGACTCTAGGTACCATTGTTCTTTTACAATGCAAGAAACATGCATTCATGCAGATTCCTCATCATTTAGTTTCTTTAAATACAATACATGGTGATAATATTTGGTGACTACAATTTGAAAAGTGATTCAACACAAAATGCCATTTTGAGACTAACAGCCCTTCTGTGCTAATGCCTATTCGGGCTTAAAAAAAAAATTACATTCTTCTTATGCTTTCATCATATCTCATTTTACAACTGACAGCTATAGGAGTTAGGTTCAGAAGTTAATGTTTCTTTACATTAACAGACGGTAAGTCGGTACAGACGGTATTAACAGACGGTAATAGAAGGGTAGGGCACATGCGTGAGGTGTTAATGATATGGCCATCATGTGCATAGGCATAATTTTTTAATTATTTATAGTAGCATCATTGCAGCAGCTGTAGATGTCAACTCACATTCTATCTTTTGCCTCTCTGACGTTCAGTCCATGATAATGTTTTGAAGGTACATAGCACTGATAAAAATTCATCATCAGTTCTGATCAGTGTATGGTCCGAATACAGTGCATGGCTAGTAAAGTTAGTTTTCAGAAAATTAACAAAATATGCATGATGAGGAGTACAGTAGGTGGCCATCAATCATAATTGACAACCTTGAGGAATAAATGTAGCAGCATTTCCTGCTCCTTAGTTGCAGCTCTGGCAGCTATACATCATGTCATACCTGCTTTTCCAGAAACTGTTACAGTGATACATTGCAAAAACTGTGATAGTACATTTAAAGCAATCCAAGTGGTGGATTTAACATCAGCAATGTCTTGTTGTATGATAATGTTTGGCCTCATATGGCTCATTACAAAACCAATCTTCTGAAGGAGTTAAACAGCATTTGAACATCTGCCATACAGTCATAAATGCACTTATAGTGAGTTTGAATCTACAGGTATTTCATTTACTTGAAAAAGTTTCTTCCAGTTAACAGTTTTAAAGTAATACAGAGATGCAGCTGGTTATAACACAGAGGTTCCAAAACCAGGCATCAAAATTCCATGAAAGAGGAATAAAAAAATTGGTGCAGTGGTATGACAAATACCCCAATTTCAATTAAGATAATGTTGGAATGTTGCTGTGTCTGCTTTTCATGAAATTATATTTACTTTCAATGTATGAAATATACTTTCTGGAATCTTTTCATAAAGCTATACATTCTAACAGTTTGCATTCATACCTTGAACCTCTTCTGTCTCATGCTCTTGAATCATATCTACACATGTACAATGTACATCAAGACAAAAACACTATATCTCTACATCTTCATATTAGCCCAAATATTAGACAGTCTTAGATGTAAAATGGTTTGGTACCTTTTAAATGTATTGTACAAGAGAGAAAATGAGCTTGCATATAATATAAAAAACTCTCACACATGATCTTGACATGTTCAAGATCATATATCAAACTTATATGCATAAGACTTTCTCATATTTTATCATGTTCTACAAGAAATATCATCTGTATATAATTCTTAAATAAATATATTAGTTAACATTAAACATAACAAAGCTACATAATAATAATTAAATTATATAACATAAAAACATATATCATACAGGATAAGTGATAATCTTAATATATTTATTAAATATCAGACTGCACATATAAAAAAAGCACAGATAGTATGAAGATATTTTAATAAGAAAGGAAGAAATACTTTACATTTCAGCCAATATACAATACAAGCCAATACAAACTAATTCATCGTAAAAGTAAGATTAGTCTGTAAAGTAACTATTCAATAATCTATTTCCACTAACAAAACAATAAAAACATATACTTTTTCACCATATGGTCCAACTGCACCAGGTGGTCCTGTAGGCCCAGGCAATCCAATTCTACCAGGCAAACCAGGCCTGCCCTACAAAATAAAAATATTAAATGCTACTTTAAACTTAACTGGCAGTTCCATCTAAAATGTACAAACATAACATAACCATGGTAAAGTTTAAATGTTACATACTGAGTCATCTGGAACGTTCAGCAGTTTCTTTCTTTCTTTTTTTTTTTAATTCCTTTTTTCCTTAATATAAATAAAAAAATATAAAAAAATACATTGGATCACATAAGCACCATTTTGTTCCATGACTTTCTGCCACCTCTCTGGCAGGTGGAAAATTCCTTTTTGAAAAAGGTCTTTAGATTTATTTGCAAAGAAGTTATCAAGACACTATTGGACTGTCTCCAAAGTCCTTCAGAGAATTTTGAAGTGAGATGAAAATCTGAGAGGAAAAGGTGTGATGAATATGGGAAATAACACCAAACATCTTAGCTATACTCACTAAGTCTTTGTCTGATATTCATTGAAATGTGGGACTGAGCATTACTTTGATGAAAGCACTTCAGAGATAGGTCAGTTCTGGGCAGCTTCAATTTCTGCTTTTAAAACTGGCATTTGAGAAAAATATTGCTTAGAATTTACGGTCTATTTGGTGGCAACAATTCATAGTATACAATTCTTTTATAATTCAACAATATACAAAGCAATTCTTTTTTGGGATGCAGGGCCCTTTTCGATGTTACTAAAGAAGGTTCTTTAGAATCATTCCCATGATATCTGCTCCTCATCTCTCATAATCAGTCATTTCGAAAAAGAAGTGTCTTTATTTTTTTTCCAGCAAAGAACCATTCTAAAACTCAAGCAAGCATATTCTGCTTTGTTAAAGTGTAGAAAACCCACATACTGTAGTGGCTTACATATTCATTCTTTTTCAAATGATTATGTACTGTACGTTTTGGATATTTAGTTTACCAGATAGTTCCTGAACTTTATAGTGTGGATATTCAGTGATAGCTTCTTTTAATAGGTCCATGTTTACAAGGATGATTAACCAAAGCAAACATCACCCTTAAGGAGGAAATTTCCACACTTAAATTTCTCAAACTACCTTCAAACTGTGTCAGCAGAAATAGCACTTTATTCACATATAGGGCATTTTTTCCTTTTTTAAGATAAAAGAGCACTGTATGGTGAAAATAAACTTTTGGGCTTTCCATTGCACCTTTTGGGCATTGCATTGAAACAAAAATTATGCCAGAACACATGCTAAAATTATGCAACGAGCAGAAAAGATCATATTTACACATCCACTTCGATTAAAGTCACTCTTTATCAGCAGTAACAAAATAATTACAAAAAAAGTTGTTTTATTTGAAAAACCGCCGAACTTTCTGGATGACCCAATATATCTCCTTATTACAAACAATCATTCAAATATGAATAAAAAGAGATTATAAACAGAAGGAATATATGATCTCTAAACAATTTCAAATTACTGAAAAGAAGTATCATATGTATTCATTTATTTCATCAGCTATCCTAATTATTCCACAGTAGTTAGCAAAAGCAGCTGCTTCACAGCTAGGCTCACAGTTCATATCCCTAAAAAGGGATGGATATTAGTGACTGTTATTTCTTCAGAATTCAATCACTTGAGATTCAACATACACAGATCTTGGCCCTAGAATGAAATTGATTATTCACATAACCATTTACCAAGGCACAGACTTAAACACTTGTGTTTCTTTGGTGCTTGTGTGCTCCTTGAAAATTCCATATCATCAAGTAGCAATTTTGTGCAAATGAACACATATTTAATTACATAATGTAAAGGATTTCCAGAAAACTTTACACACTTTTTCTCTTATAAAATTCATCAAATATGTTTGAATTCATTCATTTGGTTGGAAGGAAACAAAAATGATGAAAATTTGAGATCAGCCATTAATTTAAAAAGATAGCATTCATTATTTTCAACAACACAGAGTCATTTAACTGATTGTAGTAATGGGTATCTGCAATAAACATTTCTAACCATAAAAGAAATGCTAGTTATAAACATTTTGATTAAATGACATTTATCTTTTATTTCTTGAAATGATCTATAATTATATTCTACTTTCTTTCACTTTTAAAAGCACATTATAAATCAAATACAATTGATATTCTAGTTGCCCTTAAAGTTTTTTGGCCAGCTGAAACAGAAATAATTCCAGCAATAGAGTAATATATATGTACTATTTCTTTTCGTGATCATTAATAAAACTGACTTTTCAGAGATAAAAAGAAAAAGTATGCCTCAAAAAAGAGATAAATTAGTAAATTATGATGCTGTTCACCTCATTTTTTTCACGCAATGCAATATTCTAAAATTTAGCACTGCACTTTTTTTCCTTAGCAATTAAAAAATATATATAAAAAAAAAATTTTTCACTGCTGCTACCACCCAAAGTGACCACCTCTAGAATAAACCAATATATCTTTAAACATAATTAAATAATGGCAATGGACTTCATCATTTTTTATACTCTAAGCAGCCACCTCTGGAGAAGACCGAAATCTGGAACTATAGGAGGTCACCTTTGAGAGGTTTCATTTTATCTATTACAACAAAATAAATTACTAATACTGTTAAAATAAACATGTATCAGACAAGTCAGTTAAGTCACAATGACAACAACAAAAAATAAACTCAATTTTTTTCCTTTACTTTAGCATTTTATAAAACCTAAAATATCATAGCAGATTTTATATAATAAAAAAGAATTATGGTAAAAAACTAGCATTACATTTTAATTCCTGGTAGAATTTTTGGAAATGAAATAAGAATTTACAAATGAGTTCTTTTATTAACTATCTATTTTTACCTCACAAAAGTCTTAAATACAAATAATCTCCAACATATGCTTACTATAAAAATGAACAATATTACAATAATTAATAAAACCATAAAATACTAACGTCAGTTCCGTTGCACCCTGGATATCCAGGTTCACCAGAAGGTCCTTCATTTCCAGGAAGACCCTAAAATTTATAATTGCTGATATTTAAACTCAAACCAACACTCCAGTTCAAAACACATACAAAGTTCTCAAATTAAATATTATGAATAATTTCATAGGGAACTAAAAATAAAATAAGCTGAAGAAAGAAAGCAGTTTCATACTGGAATTCCAGGTGCTCCTTCAAAGCCAGGTACACCAGGATCACCCTGAAAAGTTTTAGAATAAAAATTAAAAGATTAGACAGTCTTTTTTATAATTATAATTTTTATAGTAAAAAAATTACATTTATACATATTTTAATATACCTGATAAAATTTTATTTAAAGTTGAGTTGGTCAATCCATTGGTTGCAATAAAACATCATCACATTACTGAGAGAGATCTAAGGATTATTATACTTAATGATTTTTGGTTTTGAGTCCAATGTAAAAGTTTATAATCCACGCTCTGCATGGCCTCGGTTGGTTAGGAAGATAATTTTTATTTTTTTGCAAGATGATAAGAACAAAATTCAACAGGATATAGCATGAATATCTTGATATTTTTAACATTTTTTAACTTATTTTTGCCAATAAATTTTTTAGTCTTGCAAGTAGATATCTAAGATGAGATCATTTGATGATGCACTTTCATCTAATCAATGCCTACAGAACAGATCGAATGACACAAGATGAAAGAAAACTGGGAATGATGAAATTTTAAAAATTAATTCTAATATTCAAAGAATATGCAATGCAGATTTTTAAAATTTATTAAAAAAAAAAAAAACCCTCCATATAGAAACTTTTATTTATTTCTATTTTTTTTAAGAGTTCTTAAATGACAGAAATGCATGAAATCATAAGTTGCAAAAAACCTGCAGTGTACTGATAGGCTAATTAGAATTCTTAATAAGAATAAAAAAACTGAAAAGAATGAAATAAAAAACTGCATTGCATATTCTTTGCATATAAAAATGCATGCACATATTTTAATTGTAATTTCAAGTTATAGTAAGTACATATTTTCTTTTGTCTTGCACTGAATGATTTGAAATTTTTTAAAAATTTACTTAAAATTTGATATTAATTTATTCTTATTTGATTACTTTTGTTTTGTAATTAAAAAAGAGAATTTCACTTGATTATTTTCCTTTTGCAATTTATCCAGATATAGAGTAAAACTTCAGAGATTATGAATGCCCTCTTATGTGAAAAAATATTGGTTAACAAAAGCAAATTATCTGAGCAAAGAATGATGAATAATGTCTCGAGTTACGAATGACAACAAATGGTTTTCATAAGTGTATTGAGATAACCTCTGATACCAAATTAATACTCAATTTTCTATTACTTAATTCTCATTAATAAAGCTGGACAACAAGGGGCATACAGGATCATGAATTCTGCCTGGAGGAAATTATGGCTAGATTGTGTTGCAGGCAGAGATTTTAAAGGCTTCAGCACTGACAAGAAAGGCCTTCCAAAACTTAAACTTTCAATTTTTCTCAAAAAAATATATACATAAATCTAGTTATAAAGAAATACATAACAACAAAAGAATTATCTGCTACTATTCTATATAAAACCCAAAATAAATTGTTCAATATGAGAATTTTGATTGCAAATGGCAAACTTTCTGACAAAGTTGATTACCAATAATGAACTTTCTGACGAAAATTTAAAATTTCACGAAATCTCCAAAACAGCACACTATGTCATCAAATGTAGTTAGTACAGTTTTAATTGCCCATTTTCAATGATTTAGTAGAAATTTTTTTAAATAATTTAATTCCATTTAATCCAAAACACTACATTGCAGTAAAATTGCAATGTGGACTTAAGTTGATGTGGGAAAAAGAATGCACTAGATTCCACGTCTTCAGAAAGAAAGCTATCAAGTTAACATTAACAGCTAAATTCCTGTAGGTAAAATAAAATAAACAAGCAAAATGTGTTTAGTTATGAAAAGCATATTCTGCAGAGACTCTTCTTTTCATTTCAGAACCTTTGAGTCAAGAAAATACTTGTAAAGTTTGGTCTTGTGAACACTGCTGTCCATTGAGTCAAAATTTTTAACGTCAAATTAAGTTAAAATAATCAAATTTGTACACCTTCTAATTAATATTTTATATATATATACTTTTCACCTAACATACACTGTTATCATTTGGGGGGGAGAAAGATGAGAGATACAAGTAACTTTATTTATTTTTTTGACTTGCACTCAAATTGATTGCTAAAGTCTAAAAATTAAGAAGATACTGAATTAGAACTTCGATTCTAAGCCCTGTATCTATTTGAAGATATAAATGCATATAACTTTAACCGAAAACAGTCTGGCAAACTGTTGACAGCAGTATGTACCATTATACACCACTGAGGCAGAATATGTCATAGCTAGCAAGGCTTCAAAAGAAGTTGCCTGCTATAATGGCTATTGAATGGCATTGCTGTATTAAATCAAAGTTAATGATAGTGCTGGCCATTTGTTCAATAATCTAGCATTTGACAAGTGAAAAAAGACATTAATATTAGATATCACTTTTATTTTCTTGAACTGAATTTATATCTTTTTTGTCACAGTTTGATTTTGTCGCTCAGCTGTTGTTATTTTCATGACATGAATATGGGTACATGCAGTGTTTCTGAGTTATCATTTTATTTTGCTTATGTTCTGTAGTTTAAATTAAAATATTTTTCTTGGATTTACTTAATTTATTTAATGTATCCACAGTCAATTTTCTGAAGACATATAATATTGTGTTTCTATGCGAAACCATGAGCTGTGACATAAGCATTGGAGACATGAAAGAGATATATACTACATAGCCATTGAAATGAGTTCAGCAAGAAGAGAAACACTTTCAGAAGCAGTAACAAAGTGGAAGAAGTCAAAATACTAAAAAGCAGTGAAAGCCATTTTACAAAGCATAAAAATGAAGCTAGGAATATTTCTGCAGTATTTGGTGGATTGTTCAGAGGGACATACAAATGTTTTATTGCAAGCATTTCAAGTAGAAGTGTGGCTTAGAATTCCACAGCAATGCCTGGCACAATTTTGATAGAATCTATGCAATCTTTTATGGTTTCATGACAGCCAACTTTAATAGTTAATGGGATAAGTACCACCACCTGTGATCCAGGAACATATTAATAACTTTGCAATTCCAGTTAAGATGTTTCTCAAGAAATCAAATATTCAGTCAGCCACTGCTATTGACAGTTTTTATGCATCAAACTTTATCACTCAGTCATGTTCTCTACAGCATCATATCATTTTTGGCTTTATATATTACATACTATATAAATTAAAAATATAATTAAAAGTGTTTCATTTTACCCTGATTCCCTTAGGGCCCATAGCACCAGGTTCTCCAACATTACCTCCGATACCAGGGGGACCTAAAGGTCCTTCTGGTCCAATTTCACCTGGATGACCTTCTAAGCCTTGTAACCCTGGTAAACCAGGAACACCCTAAAGAAGAAAAAAGTATTTTCATGAAGATAATCAGTCATAAAAATGAAAAATTTCATAAACATAATATAATTAATTACAAAATCTTTTATCTTTCGATAACAATGAGTTAAGAAGTAGAAGGAGATAATAACATTTTAAAACATACACAATGAGTTTTGATTCTGTTAGACACATCTTCTAATTCTAAAGTTATGCATTTATGTTCTTTTTTTAAAAAATGCTTCAATATAATATTAAAAAAACACAGAAAAAGCGCAAAAAGAATTTTACTAAACACCATATTTTTTCATACGACAACTTAATTTAGAATGAAGTGTATAAATAAGGTCCCGTTGGTTTTTAAATAAAAGCCATTTCTTTTGTAAAAGGAAGAAGGAGGGCATGTTATTTATAAATTTATATAATATTAAATACATTATCAGAATTAATCAAGCTAGCTGTTTGCTTTAATTATCATTATTCAATCCTCAAAACTGCATGGTAACTTTAAAAAAGGGTTACTATTACTTTATTTTGAGTAGAAATGAAAATTTTCAAATTTAAATTGAGGAATAAGTTTTCATACAAGAGAATAAAAAGATAAAAATAAGGTTACTAAAATGATACCGTTAAATTCTTTCTCAATAAAATGCAACAATGCATAAAATCATTCCCATCTTTCAGGCAATAATGCAGATAATTAAGTTTCATACTAGGTAATAAATAATAACTTTTCAAAAACCACTTCTTGCGATTATTAGCTTCTTTGTATATTCCAAGGGCCAAGGCGTTTGACTTCCGGAGTACCTTTGCAAATTAATGATATTACCTGCACAACTTCGATAAGAAAACTGAAGTAATTAAAAAGAGCAATGGCTAAAGGAAAATGAACGAAACCGTTAAGGGTTTGTATATTCCATACACTTCTCTAATATACAAAAGTATGCCTAACACAAGGCTTCAACTTTAAAATGTGAAATGCTGATAAAAAGAAAATTGGCTTTCACTGAAAAAACAGAAACATAATGTGGTCACACCCAGAAGATAACAAGAATAAAGGGTTGATAAATTACTGTTTATAAACATGGTTAGGTTGCATAAATTTAAAAAAAAAAAAAAAAGTTCATAAGTGATTTCTCTCCTTCTGAAAGGCATATCAAATTACACATTTTTTTAAAAGGCCCTTTAAAATTGTCAACGCTTTTCTAGGATAAATCGAAAGTCATTACAATTAAACCCAATTAAATGGTTGTTCCAATTATTGGAAATGTTAATAAAGAATACTTTCTTAGACCTTACAGTTTTTGATAGCGTTTTCAGGTGAAGTTGTTAAATATTAACAACATAAAACTCTATTTCCACCTGACTTTGAACCAGCTCTAATTTCATAGCATATAAAACTTAATGAAACAAAAACAAAAATTTCGAGCTCATAATGCTCATTAAATGTCAAATTCGGAACTTCAGCAGAAAATTACAATATAAATAAACGATAGAATAAAACTTACTGGTAGACCTTTTTCTCCTGGACAAACACAAAGTTGAGAGTCTGTACATCCTTTACAAGCCTAAAAAAATAAGCATTAATACATTAAAGAAAAAAAACGTGGAAATCAATACAATGAATAATAGCATTAATACTTTAATAAAACAACGCAACTTTTAAATTTATTGCCGCAATTCACGTTCAAATCAGTGCTGCCATCTTGTGCTGACATTGATAAAGCTTAGTTAAACAAATATTAAAGAAAGTAATAGTTAGCAGGTTTTCTTAGAGTTTTTTTTTTTTTTTTTTTTTCGTAATTTAGTAAAAGTGTTTAAGGCTTATTGAAAGATTAAACAAATTTTAAAGTTTAAATATTTTTCCTCCATTGTAAAACTGTAAAACAATGAAAAAGTTCTAATAAGAGGTATGATAATACTGTTTCTTGTTAACTAGAACTTGCTGGTTTACGGAAAAAATGACAATTTTATTCTTTAATCTCATTCAGCATCTAATGTATTTACAGGGTTTAATTTCAAAAATAAAAGTGCCAGAGTCCTATGGAAAACCATGAGGAAAACTATAAATAATGATTAATATAATAAAATAATTAAATTAAAATTCAACAAAATGCAAAGAGATAAATAACAATTTAATAAATTATTAAACTAATGATAAGCAGTTAAGTAGAAAAATAAAATAGCGGACTTCCTCTTATTTGTAGCTCCGGCTGGACTTCAATTTCATTTCATTCAATAACTGAAAAACAGTTCAGCCAGCTTCAAGCTGAATTTAAGCCCTGAATACACAGAATAATGTACTATTTTAAGGGCTGATAGAAACGAAGTCCATTCTTTTTCGAGCATACCAATTAAAAAAGATTAAAGCGACACTAAAGAGAATATTGAGAATCCAAGAAACAGTATAAGAGTATGTAGGGCTGGATTAAGATTTTAGGAGACTCTACGCACTTAAAGATTTTGGTGCCTCCGTGTGATGTTTACGCCCTGTTTTTCTTCATTCCTTCTCACGCTCCCCAATTTTGGTTTAGCTGCATTTCATGGTAAAACTGGCAATGGGAAATTTTTTAGTGCTCCCTTTCCTGAATATCTTAGGAACTTTTTTGTGGTGCCCCCCTTCTCTTGATGCTCTAACACGTACTCAGGTGCTAGCACCTGAGAGTATGGAAGGAAATTTTATGTAGCTCTGAAAACATAGAGATAAGATTCGGGTACTTTCTGACGCGATACTCTGTCGATATAATTGTAAATGCTTAGCAGAATAAGAAAAGGGAAAACGTATTCCGGAATTTGATCCGAAAATAATATGCGAACAAACGTAAGGCTATGTAAACTGGGGGGGGGGAGAGAATGGGACAGTTCGATATCTCCCGTTCTACTGGGCCGATTGACGAAATTCAACTTGCATTTTCATTCTCGAAGCGCGACTAGGATTATGTATTGAGTTATATATAGCATTGTTATTCGAATAAGTATTTTGACGCAGATTTTTAAATTAGCACTCAAATTTGAGCTCCTCATTTTACTGAATTTGATCATATTTATTAATTCCTTTTTATTCACTATTTGATTTTCTTTGATATTTCAAATTTAGTCTACAAAAAAATTCGCTATTTTTTTTTAAAAATGCTTATTTTAAATAATTTTTATAAATTTTTTGAAATTTTGAAGTATAAACTTAAAAGTTTTCCTCTCCTTAAAGTAGACGATTCTAAGCAGACCTGCAAAAAATTACAGTTTTTTATTCAAAATTTCCGAAGATATACGTGAATTTATATATTGGCGCGTTTTGAAATTTGGCATATTTGTTGAAATCGGTAATAACATCAGATGTGATTTAGGCACTTTGTTAAAATTATTTGTCGAAACGATGTGACGTTTTCTTCGCTCATGCACAGTGTAAAAATTTAGGAACGCTGTGACTTTTTTAGGCTCCTTTACAATATTACAATAGAAGGGAAAGGAAAATAAGTTGCTATATATTAAGAAGTTCGCTAAGTGAATTATCCTTGGCGCAAACTGAACAAAATGCGTTAAGTTAAATTTTTAAATTTCTCCGTAAATTTCGCAGCAAATTTTACGAAATTTAATATTTAGGCATAATTTGAGTCGTAGAATAGAAATATGGGAAAAAATTGGTATGCCCCATTTCATGTCAAATTACCCATATTAGAACAATGCTATATATAAGTCTAATATATATCCTAAGTCGCGCTTTGGAGACATGAAAAATGCAATTTGAATTTCGTCAATCAGCCCAGTAGAACGGGAGATATAGAACTGTCTCTTTTTTTTTCGCAGTGTACAAGTGATAATTTTCGCCTTCCAAATTGGTTATATTGTTCAAAAGTCTGCAGCAGCTCTACTTTGGGTATTCACTAGCGCAGGACTTGCAAGATCAGAGTGATAACTTCTAAGCGAAAAATTTTACCTGCGTTCATGAATTCATTACTCTGAAGAATAAGCCTTTGACATGGGTGTACAGCTTTAATTTCTTCAACTTCCGTCAAAGTGCTCTCCAAAGAAAAATAGGCATACATTCAGAAATTATAATCGATTTTAAGGCGTATTTATCATTAAAATATTTTATTTATTTATTTATTGGTTAAAGAAGTGCCGGAGATCTTCTATTTTAGAGTTCTGGTTAGAATTACGATTTACCTAAAAAACTGATTAGTACCGGAGCCGAGTTCCGGTGAGCTTCGGTCCAATATTTAATCTCTGCCAGTTTTTATATTTATTTTTTAGAAAAATAAGTATCGCAAGGGCTGTTTTACATTTGTAAAGTTGTAACAAAAGGCATTAGAAAATGAATTGCTTTTGTGCCAAAAGTGCTTACCATTGAAAACATAATGGCCAAAAAATCCATCTATTTCGTCGAAGCTATCTTTAAGCTCTATATCCCAAGACAGTTCTATTATGGATTCAATAGCTGAATCCGATAATTCCGTCTCAGATTTGATACATTAATTGTGAAAGTGTTTCTTGTCCATGCTTTGTTACTATGAGGAAAATTTCTTTCAGATTTGCCTGCAATCCTATCAAGTATTCATCGATAGCAACTGAAATTTCATCAGGCATGGAACTAATATTGCATACTATTTTTGCACTTCAGTTAACTTCAATAAAACAATATAATTTTCTGCTTCTAGCCTAAGGGTCCACAAACTGAACTTTCTCATTTCAGATTTTCTGCTGTAATTCCCGAAAGCGTGTTTCGCAATGTCTGATGCTGCAGGCAGAAATTGCTCATTTCGAGTCTGTGGACAAGCGTACTCTTTTTTATCATTATAATTAATTCTTTAAGGTTATTTTGTACCGAAAGAATATTTTTACGGGAATAATATAGAAAATGACATAATACAAAAATTTCTTCAAAAAAAGCAGTGTTCCATCTATTTTGTTTAAACGTATTCCACTTTTCACGAATTTATTTACAGATGATCGATAATATTCGCCATAAAAGCATTCAGAACATAAAATACTGCAATAAATATTAAATACATGACGATTTGTCAGAATTATCGGGAAAATGTTTCTTTAAAATTTTAAAAATTAAAGTGAACTTTCATAAACATCTAGGCCCAACTTCATTATTTTCGGTTCCATAAGGTTGACGTCCCGTTTAAGTGAAACATTTATACTAATTGAAAAGTGAAATATCCTTTTATTTAGCAGTTTGCTTGTCGGAAGACTTTAGTTGGTGCTCTCTGAAAGTCTGCCTTTTCGTTCTAAGGCCTGACCAGAAGCAAATACCTGTGACTGAGAAGAAACGAATATTTTTGTAAATCTGGAAACCTTTAATATCTACTATGTAATGCTAAACCAAAATTGATAATGATAAAAAGTATTTACATAAATTTATAAAGTGAAATATTTTGAAGATAAAAAATGAAGGGTAGAATTCAAGTTGGAATTGAGTCCACCTGCCGGCCAAGCGGTAAGCATATAAGCATTCCGTACCGCGCCATGCGCATAGGAAAAAATCCGTGCTTGTGATTGGACATACTTTCCGATGACATCATCTTCTCTTGGCGATTACGGTAGCGGAATTCTTACGGTTTTGTTTTGTGAATGACGGGCATAAGTGATCGGAAAGGAAGGCAATTATCAAATTCAGTTTCAAAAATGAACTTCACAGCTAGATCAGTCGAATTCACAACAGAAAAAAATTGGTTAAATCTTCTTTATTACCGTCAAAAGGTGCGAATAAGTCATCAAAGAATTTCGAGTTCATAAACGTTTTTGCAATATTTTTATATTGTTTGTAAAACCCACAGAACAATACAACCGAATATTTATAAAAGATTCATTTTTTGGGGGGCCGTTGTTCCCTTAAAAATATTTTTTACAAATAAGATTTTAAATAAAATAAGATTAAACGAATTAATAATATTAAAAGAAAAGAAAGTCAGAATATACGAAGTTAGGTATCGTGATTCTTCTTGTCTTCTAATTGGTTGACATACGCGAAATACAACATCAAACGGAACTTTTTCGCCATCGTCGTGAAATATTGCAGCTAGAAGTCTGCTGTTCAAACCTATGAAGAAACGCTTTTCTAGGAAGGCCCACCAGCGGCCGAGCGGTAAAGTCGCTGGTAGTCGGTCGAGGTTGAATCCCGCGAACGTGCTGCTGATGGGTTGTTTTCGGGTTTTCCCATGTGGACGTGTAAAGAGCCAGTTTCCCTTAGAAAGTCCTCCACGAAGGCATCCCCCCTCTAGGCAGATAGCCCTCGTGTGCTTTGGCATAATTAAATAATCCAATCCAATCCTTTTCTAGGAAATTTTGACTGTCGCGTTTCACTTTCTTAAATGAGACACAGTGTTGTTTTTAAGAAAGTGGAATTACAGCCCGAATTTCAAATGTCAAGCTCCGACACTTGTCACAAATTCGTATGATCAGCAGGAAATCATATTCTTATTTACGCAGCATTTTATTTAGCAATTACTTAGACATGTAGATTCATACTAATTATTGAGTGTATGCATACAGCCGAAGAAGGACACGAAATATTGGGTAGATATAGAATGGAGAATCCAAATGGACCAGTCAGAATATGAAA